TCCTCGTGTTAGCCTCTGAGCCCATCATACAAGGTTTGTCAGCACCGCGGCATGAACTTACCATCGGGTCAGAGTCCGCAAAAACGTAGCAAACCTGTTGCCATGGAAATGGCTTGCAAGAACTCCACAATTACTTAAGACCTCCGGATTGATGGCTATAGCTTCCCCATTTTGTAACCACCACATTGCATTGGGGGCTATTGCGTTCTCCAGAATATGCATAACTCGCTCCGCAAAAGTAGTTGGGTTGGGGAAAGTCCCGCCATGGGCATGTTTTGCGTCCTCTTCTGATGTAGCCGGTTCGCCCCCCGGTGAGCTGGATCTGCTGCTAGTCGATGCCTTATTCGGGTCACTGCTGTCGCCAGTCGTCATAGCCTCCCTTGATTGCGCCGCTTCGTCGGAACTGTCTGTTTCCCTGTCTGTGCCAGTCTGGGCCTCTACTCCCAGGGCAACGGCAGTGTGATCGAGAGGGGCGCAACGGTGAGCTATCGAGCATTGATAGATTCGCTTCGTTGCGAGAACACTTACCAGCGCGCCTCTCGTGGGCCTCCCCGGTGCGAGTCCTTTGCCTTTCTTGTTTGTCCTTGGTGGCCCTTGCTCTCTTCATCGTTGTCGGACATCAGAGAAAAGCTGCACCTCCGTTGCGGCAGCTCTTTCTTGTTGGATTGACAAACAGTTGTAGTGGCACTTCTTCAAGGCTGTGTTATCACGGTTGTTTTTTGCTCTTTGCTTTGCTGTTTGTGTTTGGGTGGGGAGCGGTGCGGACGTGTCCCAAACGATTGCTGTTGTGGTCTTCGCTTTAGGACGGGATTGACGGGATGTCGTTCCACGGAGGCATGCCACCAAGCTAATTGGAACGGCTGGGTTTATCTTATAAGGACACGGTGTACCATACAAGCTTGTGGAGTGAACGTCACGGAATGAGGTGATGCTTTGCGTGAAACAAACGACCTTCGCCCCTGCGATTGTTGGGGCTGGGTACCGGTACTAGCTAGCTAGACTAATAGCTGTTAACCGTTGGAGCTGATGGTAGCGTGGCCTTTGGTCGTCATGACGTCATTGCCTTCTTTTCAGGTGACTTGAGCTACTATTATAGTACATGTACAAATACAGTCTACTCTCATTTATATCAGGAGGGGTGGATTTAGGGAAAGTCATGATATAACTGAGAGTCTGATATAACACTTTTAGTACCGGGTGTACGTAGATCTACGTGAGAAATCAACCCTAACCCTAAGAATACCATAACAAATCTTAGTCATGAGCCACTAGTGACTGATGGGGGGAATTACAATAAGTCTTGATTTAACTGAGAGTATGATTTTACATATTCTGATTTAAGCGAGAGTAGACTGTAATGTCAACCAAGCCTCTGTACATGCATCACCTCTTTGCGTTGCTGCAAGCTGCGAAGCACACGTTCCTGGTTGCAGGTGGTGGTATGATACCTGGAATTTGCTAGCCCCAGCTTCCAACAGGAACCTATGGTATGGAAGTTGGAAGCAATAGGGCCTGATAGCATCCACCGAGTTCAACAAATCAATTAAGCTGTCAATGACCATCAATGCGCAACACTCTCTTCGAAACAAATACAAAGTGCACCTTTGCTTCACACCACTCTGACTCTCTTGACTTGTTCTGACCTAATAGCTAGCTAGCTAGATCTATAGAGTGCATGTAGTCTAGGAGCAAACATCATATGCATACATGTACATACCGTAGTACCTTTACTGTACAGAAACTCGGAGTGAGAAAGGTCTTGCTCTTGGTCTCCACAGATATGCTGTCGTAGGACGTTATCACACCTGGGTAGTGTTTGCTTGATACAGCAGTACGGCACATACCGTACCGTACGATACCAGGTACCTGATACCTGGTACATGCAGTGCTTTTCACCACTGTCCATTTTGTTACCATGTTTACCACGGTTTCTAAAAAGGAATTCATTGATTGATGGCCAGGTTAACCACAGTCAACTACTAGCTAGTACTGTGAACGTGTACCAATGACTTGGTCTTGGTTTCCTTGGTACCGGTACCTGGTACCCCGCCACCACCGAACTTAGCTAGCAATGGGTTGCGAGGACTTTTGCTTCTGTAGAAGAATGTAGAATGGTAGACGACGATCGAGGGTGCTACATGGACCTGCTCGTACCGGTACATGTATTCGTTGAGGCCATCATTCGACATGTATTTTGATTTCAAAAGTTTTATCGAATGCAGCAACACTCTCTTCGGCACCTATTTTAATAGCTAGCTACGGTAGAGCTTGCACAGCAGTAGAAGAAAAAAGAAAAGTCTTTGCTGACAAGAGGACAGACTTGAGCGCTCTCTATACTGCTCTCTCGGTGGTTGCTCCCTTGCACCAATCCACCAACCGCCGAGATGGATTATGACGACGAAGGCCTCTTGAAAGGGCGGCCTTTCCTGAGACTTTGGGATCTAGACGAGAACTCTACGCGATACGATCAATTGCTGGCAGCCCCTGCGGACAAGGAGATGGTTGCCTATTGGATATCCTGGGCCGTCATATCCATTGCGGTTGGGATCTTTAGTCTGACTGTCTTCCTGGGGATCCTCACATCTCGCAAAGCTCGTGGGAATTCCTTCAATCTCTACCTAATCTACCCCATGGTCCCCGATTTCACCTTTAGCCTCTTGTGCGGAACGACCTGCATGATCAACGCGATAATGGGCCAGTACACATTTCCTTGGATGTGCAACTTTCAACAATGGTACTGCGTCTTTGGGATTGGCGCCAACACCTGGTTAAACATGCTGGTGGCGCACCAGCTCCATACCATGTTGAGCTTCTCCGGTAACCGACGGCGATACTCACCTCCCTCACGGCAGTACGTTACCATGCAAGCCATGGCAGTCTACGTGTACTGTGCATTCTTGGGAACGTGGGGGTTGATGGAAAAGGACCATTTTCCCTTTCATTCTTGGTCCGTCAGTGGTTTGGCATGTGTGCCCGTTGCAAGGGATACAAACAGTTCCCTCTTTTTTTGGCTCTGCTTCATTCCGTTGTTTGCAGGTATCCCATTTGCCTACATTGGGTACATTTGCTATGACATTAGAAAGCGACAGCTGATGCCACCGAGTGGTAGACGCCGCATGCTAACAATTTACTTTGGCAGACTGATTGGGGTCTTTGTCATCATGTGGATCCCCACGTTTGTGCTCCTCTGGGTGGCCGGACCGTGGCTCCCACCCTGGCTGCACTTTGCAGGAGGCACATGGAGCCATCTTCAGGGAGCTGTGAGCGCGGGATTCAGTCTGATGAAGCCAGATATCTTGAATGCCGTCAAATGCTTCTTGTTCTGCCGATGCGGTGCCGATGATGAGTTGGAAATTTACATTAGAGTGACTGAAGCAGGACGGAGGAGGGCGTCTTCGATATCCTTTCGATCCTTCTCCAAAGATGGTGGTGGTTGTTGTTGTTGCTTTTCCAGAGATAGTGCGGCCTCAAATCTGGGTCTTTCGGCCTCCGCGGAAATGGCAGCGGCCATTGCAGAAGCCAAAGCTATCGACCATCAAATTCGATTTGAAGTGGAATCACAGGCAGACCAGTTGGGAAGGTCCACCAAACAGGATTCGGAGGAGGACAGTGACGATGACGAAGATCAGAACCATTCCGTGTCGGGATTGTGGCCAAATCAAGCAGGCAGCGACAATCACCCTGCGATATCAATGGATTGTGAACCCCATAGCGATGATGTGAGGGGCTCTCGTAGTATGATGGATACCGGTAGCTTACGGAAGAAAGCGATGTTCTATTGGCGCAGGTCCAAAAAAACAGACCTGAACGAGGTCTCCCAGTTGTCAATGGACGAAAGCGTTATCGCAGAGGAGATGCGTACTCAAAAGTTGAAGGACAGCACACGAAGTGCTCCACTGTTCTTTTGGCGTCGGTCCCGAAAGGCTGATGAGGGTGTGGGAACGGCTCCCAACGAGTTGTCAAGGGACGAAAGGGTTATCTCAGAGGACATGGGTACTCAAAAGTTTATGGATAGCACACGGAGCGCTCCACTGTTCTTCTGGCGCTGGTCCCGACAGGCTGATGAGGGTATCGGAACCGAACCTCAACGACTCCCAGGGGCCAAGAGGCGAAGCTTCGAAAGACTCCAGGGAAGAGGGGCTCGGACCGTTGCCTGAATCGTAGCATGAAGGGATAATGCACTCTCCGGCTGGTGGAGTCCCTGAAGTGGGGCGCCTACAGCCTCTAAAGTCTGTTGACGTATGGGTACGGTCCCACGAAATCAGAAATCCGTTTGCGGGGGCAGCAACCCCTTTGCGGCTACAACGACAGCGTGCGATGACGCCTTGAAATGCAAGCAACTCTTTGGCTTTCAGCAAAAAGGACCGACAACCTACTCAGCCACCGAGAAGCTTGGTTTTACGGCAGACACGGAAGAAACGGAACATATCCTCCAGTTCCTTCATTCAAAAGTCCGCTGTTGCCTCGAACGCAAGAGGATGAGTCCTCGACACAGATCCTTGCAGGGGAAGACATTACAAGAGACTATAAGTATACTGCAAAAGATTACGGCTTCCACTCCCGCTGCGTCCGTAATTCAAATAGATTGTGCACTAGATACATGGTAGTAAAGCTTGGGCATCTCTGCAGTCTAACGATTCTGCTGTTGCCTCTGTTGCAACAACTGCATCAGTTGCGCCAAGTTCGGTGCACCGTTCTGC